AACATATTACTAGTAAAATATCCTCAACATATGGACCACATTTCGTTCAGCGTTCCTTAAAGATATTACTAGTAAAATATCCTCAACATATGGACCACATTTCGTTCAGCGTTCCTTAAACATATTACTAGTAAAATAACCTCAACATATGGACCACATTTCGTTCAGCGTTCCTTAAAGATATTACTAGTAAAATAACCTCAACATATGGACCACATTTCGTTCAGCGTTCCTTAAAGATATTTATTAGTTACGGCTTTTAAATTGAAAGTGTACAACTTTGATATTCTAACATACATAGTCATGGCCGCTAAGCCTAACACCAGTGCAACATTACTAATGATATCAACCACGTGGGCATATACAAGTGTAAGATAACTATGGTACATTAAAGTAATAATTAAAAATATTATATTAAGTGAGTGTAAGTCAACTTTTGTACATTAATAATGAAAAGTATTGTTATATTAAGTAAGTATACGTATGATACATTTATAACCAAAAATTGGTGTATTAAATTAAGCAAGTATAGAATAACTATGACATATTAAAATAATAATTTAAAATATCACTCTATTAAATATGGAAATATCAACAAACGAAAAACGTAAGGCAGGAAGTCTGCAATCCGATAGCTACAATTGGCATCTATTTTTACAGCGCCTGCGGGCCTAAGTACTCAACTCTACATTCCGCCACGTGTCCCATCTCGTGATTCTAGTACCTAACGTACAGAAAACAAGGCCCTCATTGAAGAGAAATTTCTTGTACTCAAAACAAATAAAAAGAAATAAAACCGGCCAACTTCCGTCCGCTAATGACAAGCATCTTGGATCACGTGACAGACCAAAGTGTGGAAACAAGTTAGACAGTGTATTCCAGGCAGCAATTCTTAAATAGTTTGGCGCCAAGGCTGATGGTGTTACAAGGAGACGATTAAATATCTTTCTTGAAACATAAAATCACACGAAAAACATACACGACTGATGATGCTGTGTTATCAAATCCCTACCAATTATGCCAATAAGAATATTCAATGAACATTTGTAGAAAGATGAAAATGCAGTAACTAGTAGACGCTTTATTAGTATTTGTACAGTAAAAAAAAGTCTTTCATAAACCTAACTATCAATGTAAATATTCAGTCTTTAATTCGTATCATACAAAAT